AGACACTCTTGGCCAACCCTCAGTCATTGAAACTAGAGCCACTGTTTTAGGTGACGGCTCAGCTGCATTCCTGGCGGTGGAGAAGAACATCCCATATGTCGGCCTGGTGTTCTCAGAGCACCATGTCCCACAGCTGCATCAAATTGAAGCTACTGGACAACACATGCTATTTGTTAGTTATGTGCCAGTTGATTAGAACCTGGGACCCAGGAAGATTTGATTTTGATCATGTAAGGCCAAGCTCTTGACGGAGAGAGTGGAGAAGCTCACATTTCAGGCGATGCAGAACCCCAAATCCCCTCTGTTCACCAATGAGCTCATGAAGGTGATCCGGGATTCCAGAAGGGAAGCTGTTCCAGTGCCACTTGAATCAATGAGACTTACTTTCCAGCATTTGCAGGTAGATTACCACTGGCGGACAAGACTCCTTAATGCCATGAGTGTTTCATGTCAATGAGCACAAAACGGTATCATCAATTACCAACCTATTCCATTAAGTGCATGTTTGGATGAAATGCATCAGGTTTGGAAGTTTCAGCTGATCATTAATCCTTGTAAGGACAACAAGGATGAGAAGCCAAAGGATCCAAAGACAAAGAAAGAGAAAGGGAACCGTGCGCCAAAGGAAGAAGAAAAACATGAGGAGGAGGATGAGGAGGAGGAAGGGGAGGACCTGGAAAGCCCAGCAGAATCAGGTCTGCCAAAAGCAGAGGAGGAAGAGCTTGAGGATGAGGGCTGTGGAGACAAGACTCCAGAATGGATCAACACTGAGGGTGAGGAGACAAGTCCCCCTTCAGACATGGAGAACCATGAAATCACAAAGTTGAAGGAAGAAGCCGATGCAATGGAGGGTGGGAAGAAACCTCGCAAACCTCGTGGAAAGGCTGCAGCCAAGGCAAAGGCCAAGGCTCAGGAAAAGGAAGCCAAGGCGCAGGAAAAGGAAGCCAAGGCTCAGGAAAAGGAAGCCAAGGCTCAGGAAAAGGAAGCCAAGGCAAAGGCCAAAGCTGAGGCGAAAGAAGCAAAGGCTAAGGAGAAGGAGCAAAAGGCTCAGGAGAAGGCGGCAGCCAAAGCAAAGGCCAAAGAAAGTAAAAAGAGGAAAGAGCATCCGGAGAGCCAGATCGAAGAGCATCCGGAGAGCCAGATTGATGAAGAGGAGGAAAATGAAGAAGAAGAAGAAGAAGTTGAGGAGCAGAAGGCGCCAGCAGGGAAGGGAAAGACCAACCGAAAGAGGAAGAAGGGGGATGTGGCAGAGACTGAGAAGGACTGTCCCTAGCTTCAATTTCCACTCAAACAGTTAAATTGTTTGTGTAATTTGGCCGGATTATTGATTTGATTAGTGAGGTGTCCCATTCAGAGGTCTGTGGGTTTCAAATCCCTCCACATTACTTCAGCACTAATGGCTTCTCATACCAAACCACTGTCACCAGCTCAGCTTATCCTTCCCAGGACAATGTTGCCAAGAAGCTTCGCCAGATGGCCAAAGGTGCCGCTTCTTCCGGGAGGAGCAAGGCCTGAAGCAGGCGGCATCAGGAGCATTTTGAGCTCGGCTTCCGGATTAGGAGTGTTGGAGGGGAACAAAAGTTTATGACAATGAATGAACTTATCAACAAATATGATGTTTGACATTGTTGCTTTCCTCTCGTTCCCCAGGGTCACTCAATGGGGTATGGAAGCCATAATACCTATGGTTCAGTGACGCAGTGATGGGTGATATCATCCATTTTCACCGGAGGTTTGAGATGGAAAACCGATGACAGCAATTGCAGACTGCATGCTGGCTGTCTAAGTCTAAGTATTCATGAAAGCTATTTTTTGACTTGAATTGAATCTGTATGTCCAACTGTTGAACCATCAATCTGTTCATTGACCGTTGGAACAAACTGTGTTTGAAGCTTTCATTGATGGTTGGAACAAACCATGTTGCAAGCTGTGGGATCAAGCATGTGGATCACACAAAGGTTTGTGATCACTCATGCCGATCAAACTAGGGTCGGATTTTTCGGGTTTAGAATGCCTGAGTTGGGCAACCTCGATCCTCGGCTACCAACCAGAGTTCTGTTTGATTTGAATGAAGGGTGATTAATATGTTTGTGTTTCCTGAACCCTGAACTTTGGTTGAACTCTTGGGGGGTGATGAAAATGACAGGGACACTCATTCAGGAAGGCTGGCCTGGACTATGAGCTGGAGTTCATTAGTGAGTTGGATCAACAGCTCCGTGAGATGACAACCTGCATCCACAGTCCAAAGATTGCTTTTGGTGATTCTGGGATGCAATGCAGGAGTGTTGATTTGAGACCTGCCCCACTTGGAATCAACATCTCGACCTGAATAATTAAACCATTACATATTTGGTGGTATGGGACATGCCATCCGGAAAGAACACGGTCAATAATCAGAGAATTGGTCAAGTCAAACATTGAAGTTCAGCCCTGCCATTGCACTCCCATTAGCCCTGCTGAGGATGCCTTGAAGCGTGACATTTCCAGGATGCCCAAGGTGGATCTTTACGGCGCTGGGTTGCCCTGCCAACCGGTGAGCTCAGCTGGAAAGAGGAAAGGGCTGGCACCTGGACTGGATTGTCCTTTTTTTGGTTTTTGGAGAACCTCATTCATTGGATCACATGGTTTGATTCATTTAGAGAATTGGTTGGGTGTCACCCTGTCCCATTAAAAATACCTGTAACAGGCTCAACCTTATTATTGGGATTGGCATCCATGGTTACAGGGAACGGATACACCCAAAGTACTAGTTGCATCCATCCCCAGTTGAGGAAGATCCCCGGGCAAAATGCTATGGAGCATGCTTTGATTACATCCAGATGAAGAAGCCAACTGCGGTACTTTTGGAGCAAGTGCCTGGGGTGGTCCGGAACAAGAAGCTGAGGAAATTGCTTTTCATCAGGTGGATGAACAAGTTTCTGGGTCCTTAATGGTTGCACTTGAACACAATTTGATGTTCATAACCCCAGCTTACATCCTGTTTGCAATCATCAATGAACTGGCAATGGCAATAATTGTTGATTTTCACTTAGGAAGTTGTTCCTTCATTCCTTGCAAGTGGCCCTGGGAATTATTTTTCTTATTGATCAAAACAGGGTTCCCAGGGCCTCTTGACAAAATGGAGCTGGAATGGGTGCCACCATGAATGCTATCATCCCAGGCTGAAAGGTGTGAAAGACACCAATGGTTCCCAGTTCTATGAGATCGACTTCAAGATCCTGAATGCATGTTGGCATGGGCTTCCTCAGAGCCGCAAGCGTTTGTTTGTGGTGGCGCTCCGGAGGAAGAAGATTAAGAGAAGATTCAGGTGGCCTACTCCCACGAGCAAGCAGAGATCTTTTCAGTCTGTCTTGCTTCCGGTCAAAGGAGGTGGACGAATCTTGGGTGCACCAGATCAAACCATTTGTCATACAATATCAAAAACAAAGCTGGACCCTCAAGATCGTTTTCCTCCATCAACCAGTGGTTTGGGGTTCCACGTCAATCTGCAGTGGAATATGTAATAACTTTAATTCAAGAGATATCCAAAGATCATTTCCTTTTTTTGAGGGTGTCATCCTTGGAAGCCATGATCATGGCTAGAACTCTCTTCCCCAGGACCTTTGAGCCCACATTGCAAAAAGATGTTGAAGAAGGGCTTGAAGCGGGTGCGAGAGCTGGGAGGTGATCCCAAGAAGGAGATCTGGTTGATTGATGTTGGCGCTTCCAAAAAGTTCCAGAATGTTCCGAAGCACCAGATCACTCCCACCCTCACGAAGACCAGGGCTGCCGGTGGAGGATTTTGGCTAACAAAGCTGAAGCGACGCTTGCTACCCAAGGATTCTTGGATTCCTGATCTTGGTAGTTTGTGCAAAGGCTGTTGTTTTTCTATTTTGGTCTGACCCTATTATATTATTGTGTGGTCACCAAATCCAACCCTTGTGTTCCCAAATACAATGTGTTTTGATGGGTGTATGGGTGTTACATCCCCAAGTATATCTTTAGATAAGTTGGATTGGCCCTTAACGCTCATCACCAGGAATGCCTACGACTTCAGGGTATTCCTGGTGATATTGCAGATCTGGCGGTGGCGATGGGAGTGTCCCCATCCAAAGTGATGGGGGCTGCTGGCAACGCATGGCCGGTGCCGGTGGTGGCAAAGATCATCAAGCAGATTGCACTGGCTATGGATTGGTGAAAAAGAAGGTTAGTTGAGGGCAGGGTGGGCAAACGGAAGGGTAGTGCACAGAAAGGGTTTTGCAAAAACCTATTCATGGAAGGCGTGTGACCTTCATAGAACCCAAGACTGTTCCATGGACAGTTCATGGAATTATGGGCCAGTAGGAGAACTGACTGCAATGCAATTCCAGACACCTTCACAGAACTTCATGGAAGGTCTTTTTGATGCACTAAGTTGATATAAGTGATTTTTGCTGACCCCCTTTCTCCACACACCCTCCGTTTAATTGGAACCATCTTCCGGTGAGGAGACCACACCAACCTGGTCATGGTTCAGATCCTCCAACCTGCCTGCTCCCAGGTCCCTGCCTGGATGGTGTCAGCAGCAGCGGCGGCGGCTGCTGCTGCTGCTGCTGGGGCTTGGCGCGGCAGGGCAGGGGGCCGGGAGCAGGGAAAATAACTATAGGTACTTTTGAACTATCATAAATGCAAGTCAGTCACAATCATTAACAAAAACACGATTGACAACGGAGGTGTAAACACCAAACACAGCAGCAGCAACAACAACAACAATAGCTACTAATTAAACAAACAACAAACCAAGCACAGTAATAACATTGCCAAAATTTTATCAACTTAAATTAATAGCAATACATTAGCAAATAACACACAATAATAATAACAAAACGATATGGAACACATGCATGAAATACATAATCAATGAACAAAATCAGCGGACCCCTTTGAATGAACACGAACCAACCTGCCAAGGAGTCGGGAAATAATCCACCTTCTGCCAAACACACCTCCATGCACCCAACACACACCCAGTGTCGAGTGGCGGTCTCTGCAACTCTCAAGCTAAAGTTGGGCGCCAGTCGTACGTCATCTTCGAAGATCGTCGCACAGGGCCACCTAAAGAGTCGGGCGTCGCCCCGAGGCCCGAGGCCACCGAGGAAGTCAGTCTACTATCCCAAGCGCTGCATGGGGCTGCCATATTGGCCTACGGGGTATGGTTTCAGGGGAGTTCAATGTAGGCATATCTTCCAGTGCCATCAGTCGTGTCTGGGTCTTGTCCCGTTATCACGACGTGAGTTGCAGCGATGCTCAATCTTCGGACACAAGACGTCAAAGGGGTAAATGGTAAATTTGGCACAACCCGCAAGGTGTCATTAAGGCAGGTTTTAGGGATTGTGCCATCTACTCTCAACCCAATATAAAGCCGTTGTGCTGGTGACCATTCTACCAGTAGCTACATTCATTTTCTGAATGGCAAAGGTCCGAAGGGATCACCTAGAATCTACAGTATATGCATACTACAGATTCATATGAACATGTGCCAAGTCTTCCCTCATCTCTCATTGAACGAGTTGCTAGCCCACTTCCGCAAAAAACAAACAAGAATTGTATGCATTGTGTACTGCATGCAGCGATGCATGCATCTATGACAATCCACCTTCATCAGCAGTAGACTTGATTTTTTGAATGTATATATATATATATACAGTATATTTTTTTTTTCATTATCACTGCCTGGCCTCTCGTACAACATCATCTCGTAGATCTCTCTGTGGCTGAGGGAGTTCGACAGTTTGCTATCCTTGGGAAGTCAACCGCTCGGCTATGCTCGGCTGGCTCAAACGGCTCGGCTGACCTATTGCGCAACGGGGGGCAATAGAATTGGCTCAAAAATAATGGCACATAGTGGCACCTACAACCACAGTGCAAAAGAATGATGATGGTCCACAATGTACAAGCTGCCCCCGAAGAACCTTACTGGTACAGCAAGGCTTCAGCATCGCATTCCATGTCTACACTGGATGGTGGTTAACCCTTCCCAAATATATTCATCAACTGGACCAGTCTTTCCCAAATACGGTTGAAAGTACATAGAAGATTAAAGCACCAACCAGCTACAGTATCTTCATGCAAGGAAGTTGGGGCGCCACTCAGTGCTTGGAGAGGCTTGTGAAAGAAACATAGAGCAACCATTAAACATAGTGAAGAAAAATATACCTTTTGGACGTGTCAACTTAGCCTCCTGCTTGCATTTCAAACCGCTCATGAAGAGGTTTTACGATCCATGTCAGTTTGGGTTTGATTAATCAAGATTCTACATTACATTTCGTGTGACACAGCGTTCTCCCAAGCATCGCAAGGGCACTTCTTCTTGCCCGTTTCGTTCGCCAGGCGTTGGTCTGTCAGTGCATTGGCCGCGCTCCAAAACAAGAAGCGTCCAGTCAAGTTCGCGTTCTCAAACTCCTTCAGGGTAGCCCTATTGGATTTAAAAGCATGAGAAAACCTAACACTTGAACCTTACTCAACTGATCTTAACTGAAGGACCTCTGGTCACCAAACACGCTGTTGGACATGCGCACTTTCTTCACCCCATAGGTCAAACCCTTGGACTGCGGTTCGCCGTCCTTCTTCACATGCTCTCGCCGAGCCTTGCCACGATCCCCCTCCAAATTGATCACCAACAGGTGCTTCATCGGATCACAGTCCAGGACTGGTGGCAGTTCCAAGATCACCTGCACCGCTTCAAAGGGCTCCGCGCGGAGCCCAAACACTCCAGGATCCACCAACGAAGGGTGTTTCTTTTCCCCATCTTCGATGTGAATGGAGGATGTGCTGCTTAGTTCAAAATATTTCCTGCTGCCATGCACAAAACCCCGTTCTTTTCATTCAAAGGCCGTGTCTTTTGGCTCCAGTGCTACGGCATCTCTGTGGACACCCGAAACTGACCTACTCGAGTGTGTGTGTTTGTTCTTTTCTCTGAGGGGATTTCACATCTTCTGCCGAAATGGCTCCGGCCAGGGCCACAAATGGAGGGGTGGGTGCAAATCAAATACTAGGCCTAGGCAAACTACCGGGCACCAGCGCCCCGCAAGAGGCGTCTAATAATGGCTCCGCTGGGTCTTTACCTCATGAGTTAGGAATGATTTTGCGGAGCAAACCCTGCTTGTAGAGTTCATCAATCCACCCTCCAGGATGTTTCAACGAGGTTTGCGCACACAAATGTTTCTGGTAGTCATCGAAGCACTTCTGTTCTTGCGCCGTCCTTGTCTTGTGAACCTGTCGGAAGAAGTCGCCCCGCTTTCCCCTTCCCGCGCTCATCCTTCCCAGTACACCCCGCCTCCCGACCATCTCGTTTCAGAAATTCCCCATCCACGCGCAACTGCGTGGGCCGCTCCTCCGCGTGCGCGGGAGGCGGCGGCGGCATGGTCAGTGCCTGTTGGACGGCCAGGCTGGGCGTCGCCAGGCTGGGCGTCGCCGTAGAGACGTCCGGCTGCAGGAATTGCGTGCGGGATCCGCGCGGCATCTGAAGGGACACCGTGTCTTGGATCTGTAGGAAGCTCCCCAAGAGCGCATACTTGGCCTGGGGTTGGAAGAAGTTCCCCACCAGAATGCCCAAGCCAAAGACCAGCAAAAGCCCCAAGACTTGCCGCATGAAAATGGCTAGGGAGCTCTTTGCCCCAGCTCAGTGAAACAATCCAGCGCTTGGGCCAAACACGGCATTTTGATGACGTCTCTTTGCGGAATTGGCGAATCACACTGGGGAAGTACGGTTTCTCTATGTTTCTCTGTTGTGTGAAGCTGAGAAACAGCTGAAGTGGCACGGAATTGCAGTTCTGAGACGATCGGTCATACCTCTTGGCATCCCACAATGGGAGGAACATGTAGGACACCAGGAGGGCGTAGCCAGGGCGGCCACGCCCCCTTGCTGCTGTGGCCAACTGGGGTGAAGAACCCATGTCACGAAACCCGGGTCGAGTCAAGAAGATCTCGGAAACATGGCCACCAGCAAGCTGGGCGAAAAATGGCGCCGATACTCTGTCAGGCGAATTGCCATGGAGACTAGTCTGGCAATTCATTGCCCTTTTTGGGCCTATAGGTCCTGTCCTATAGGTGATCTGGTGACTATAGGATTGCAAGTTGTTTTTGTTCTAATTAGGCAACTACGGCTAGTACCATGCACCTACGAACTGCCCAAACCAAGCCTTGCAAAAACTGCCTTTCCTTTAGACCTTACAGCTATAGTTCTTTTCATGCCGCTCAAATGGGGGGTGAACTAACTGAAACAGTGCACTTTCGGGGAACCAAATGGGCAAACATGCATGCTGCATGCAGCAGCATCGCGGGCAGCACTCCTGTGAATCGAAAGTCCTTCCCGAAGAATCGATGTTCGGCATGGGGCCTCGCAACCAGGTTCATGCAGGTCTCTCTTGGAGCCAAATTGCAAACATCCGCGAACCATCCATGAAGCTCCCGACTGGCCGAACATGCCAAGCTCCAAGCTCCACAGTGTGAGTCGCAAGTCTTCCAGCCATTCTAACCGCACCATGGCGCCGCATCTGCGGAGCTTGGCAGCTCGCGGTCAGCCCTTACTCGAGCCCAAGCAGCACGCGGAAGGGTCCACTCTCTGAATCCAGCTGTGATGCCAATCTTGCACGTGTACCACAAGCTCTCACAACTCGTCTTTGGAAATCATCATGAAACTGGATGGCACACCCGCCCCTTAATGAAAATTCCACCCCCCCACCCTTGGAACCACACGTCTAGATGATTCAATTTGAAGGGGTGGGTCTCTGGATGGCATGGACATGCATGGACCATGAAATCCTCAGGTGGTGCCATCCACTTCCGAGTCCGAGCGTTTACGCGCTGCTACGCGGCGGCCGCACCCATGGTGCGCCTCCCGTGCAGCCAAGGCGTGGCTGGCACACTGGAGCTCCATCTCCTCTAAGTTCAGGGCCTGTGGATGGGATGGCCACAACGAAAAACATCCAAAAACACATGGCGAGTGGTGTAGAACCTACTAAGCTCATCTAAAGTTTGTCTGACATATTCCTATCCCTGCGGGTGTGCAATGTGTGGGTGTGTGGGACTACGGAACATTGGAACATGAGACTGCAAATGTGAGACAAATGGTTCTTTACTGGCGTGTTGCAGTGTTAAATTGAGTATGGTTTAGATTTGGACAGTGTAACCCAAACAAGCCTGACAAAAGCGCCGTTCGCGAAGGGCCTTCTTGGGGAAGGCCTCAATCTTCGAAACGTTCGTTCTGTCTTTGCAATTTTTTTCTTTGCTTCGTGGGCGTGGACGCATGGGTTTTGCCAAACGCCCCCTCGCCCTCGGCTACATGGTGTTTTCTTCAGGTATGAGTCGGAAATGTGGAGCGTGTGGAGGATATACCAAAATACCCTCAAAGTCCATCATAGTCGTAATTCGTCAACTGTCCTGGTTGTGAGGGTGGTAACTGACTACCTCCCTCTCCAGTTGGGCAAAGGAGAGGTTTGGATGTTGATGCGCGCAGTTCCCTAAATTGCCCAACTTGTCCGCGCCCGGTCATAATCTCAACATAGACAAAGAATCTTATGTCTTTGCCATTGCACCCATGCCCACCGATCATCTCCAAGATCTTATAGCTCACATTGCTTGAGAATCGCCACTGCAACACTACAAAACTGTCCCTGAAACGCTACCATCTCACCACAAACCATTCCAACCATTTAAAGGAAAATGAAGAAGGAACGTGAGACGACGTTTATGCGCCTCTTGCTTGGAGTTGATCTCCTTCTGAACTTTAGCTTGCTGAGCCGACTCATCTGCAGCCTGAAGAGTGAGGCTGGCAGGCGGAAGAGAAAGAACGGTCTAGTGGAATAAAAGGCCATGTAGTAGAGCAAATCTTTATTCGCATAGTTACACTATTTGGGGTTCTCTGATGGTTTATGCCAAATACAGGGCCATCGAAATCACGGTACGCCAGTACTGATGCCACTTAATACCTCTTGCCAAGAACGACTCCCAAACGCTCCGTGCGAGCCCTTCTATTGCCTATATTGATCTATATTGTAGGTGGTGGCGGCGGTGGAAGTAAGGCACATTCACCTCTAGATGGCACTTCATGTGCGTGCCGGCGAACCCACACCCAATGCATTGACAGTTTGCTTAGCACATCATCTGGGCCTTCTTGTCCAAATCCTGGACGTGCTTCAGCAAGTCCTGCCGAGGGGAGATCCGATGCTTGACCTCCGAAGTCTGGCATTCTTGAACGTCCCAAGCCCTCTTCAGGAACCAGTGGTTTCAGAGCTTCGATGGCACTGGCACCCCAAGATGTCTTTGATATTGGGATCCAATGGGACAAATAAACCACCCAACTTGGGGATTGTGCCATCTAAGATCTATAAATTCTGAAACCACTCTGACTCTATGGTTTTTGGATGATTGCAGACTTGATCGCCTCCAGAGACCTACTACAACAATCTAGAGCCCGACGACAAAAGTCCAGCCAGCCCCTCATCCCCCCATGTCATCATGCGGACCGCATATGGCCCGTCAAATGGACACTGTGTCTTCAAACAGACTCCAGGTTGCTACTCTGAAAATGGTCATCCAGGGGTCTGATTGTCCACTTCCATGATTGCTTCAGAGAGTGTACTCCTTGTGGTTTTCCTTTCGAGCCGGTCACTTTGCGCCAGGAACCAATGACAACTTCTCTGCCGCAGAAGGCGGGATCACGGGATCTGGGTGCCAGGGCTAAGAGTGCAGTGCCGAGCTTGACAGGACCTTCCCCTCCCATGTTGCCGCCTTTGGACGGAATGTTCTGAAGGGCGCAAAGGAGTCCAGGTGGCAAAAGGATTCTGTGCCTGTGACTCCAGACCCAAAAATCATCAAAAATCTATTATATAACTGGTGGGTGTGTGGAAGTTGGTGATAATCCACTTCAAAATGACCAAATTCAGTGGTTGATTAGTCTAGTTAATGTGGGGCTCCCAGCCGGTCGAGGTCCTGGAGTTGGCGCTGAGCATCTTCCAGTGCCTGCGTTTTCTCTGCCAAGTGAAGCTCCAGCTGCCCGAGCTTCTCCTGTAGCTTTCCTGGCAAATCACATCCAGGATGCAGGGCCCAGAGCTACAACAACACCTCTTCAGTGGTGCTTCCATTAGTCAGTACAATTCCCCCGACCCCCCGTGGCAGGGCGGTTGTTTGGACATTTTGGGTGAGCTTACTAGTAGGGAGGTATGTCAAAAACATGCATGAAATATAATGTATACAGTATACATATGTATATATACCCTGAGATTCCAACGACGCTAAAAAACTTGGGCATTGCTCAATGTCGAAGTTAAACTTAATCATAACAGAACGACGAAGTTTTACCTATGTCAAAAGAACATGACTCTCCATACAACCACCCACTTTCCTCCAAGAACAATCCTTTTCTCTGAGAAAGTCATTGCCGATGCCGTCGTTCTCGGCTTCGCGCTTCGCGCACACGCCAGGTGAGAGATAGGTATCGTAAACGCGCTAAACGAAGTATTCCCCACAGCTTTCCACCTTTGGTGGTCAACCGTCCCTTGCTTTCAGACTTCCGAGCCCAGCCTCGAGCGGGAACCATTCATCGTGCAACCACATCAACAATCGGAATTGAACGAACTAGGCACCACGCTTTTTAGAACACCCATGAAATCCTCGTCGCAAAAGGTGTGCTGATACCGTGGGTTTTGGCCTTAAATGAATCGATGTCACATGAGACATCCAACGTGGACAATTCAAAACAAACTGCAACCAGGGTACATCTATCACCCACAACTGTTTGCAGCATTTCAGCGAATGCCTCAAAGCTACCACAGGGAGGCTACATGGATTTTGGAGACACTCAACCAAAGTTTCTAAACACCATCACGGACAAGATGCGTGCCATTTGGGAATCATTGTCCAAAAGAGTTCTGATCTCCTTCCCGAAGTGCCATGGACCAATAATATTCTTTCCCATCAAGAAAACATAAAACCAGTTTGGATCATTTCCCTAAGACCATTCAAAACCCAGCTCCTCACTGAAATAGTGTTCAGCCTCCGATAAGCCTCCAAGTAAGTCCGCCCTGCTGCTTCAATGTCGGCAGCTTCTGCCACAGACCTTGAGTAAAAATGGTTTTGAACAGTCTCTTTTGAATGGTAGAAACATGTAGAAACCAAAAACTCTAGAACTAGAGTATGTCATGTGTCAAGTCCACTGACCGCCCATGGATTGCTACACCATGCGCTATGCAGTGGTCTTCAAGCTGTGGGGCAATGCACGGCAGGCTCGCTCCGTCAATCCAAAATAACGGTTTACAGCTTTCCTCCAAGCAGCACTGAAAACCCAAAACACATCTTGTCCTTTTTTGGGGGGAAAGCATACAAATTCAAAAGTTTAAGCTCAAATATACCAAATTCGATCTAAGTTTCAGCGCTGCCAAGGAAAGCTGCAATCGATCGTCCGGGAGAAGATTCATTGGAGGGTTGCGACATGCAGTCTCGACCTCATGCTCTAACCACGAAGATAGCACTCGGGCATTGTACCCCTTTGTGTTGAGGTAGGCTCCAAACTCTTCCCTGAAGACCATCCAATAGTTAAATCTGCGTTGGCTGGAAGGGATCCGATGTGCCGCCCTCCAATTTTGAAAGGATTCATACGCATTTTCCAATGGACCCTTGTAGGCCACTGGATCGCCGCGCCTACGCACAGGCCCAAAGTAGTCCATGTGGAGGAGCATGGCCCTTCCAAGATCATATCATACCAACAACACACCACCCCAGTCACAAAGGGTCAAGTAACACACACCAAAAGTAGTATTTGCATGCAAGCAGGGTGCATGCATGAGCCGTTGGACACGTGGACCAATCCCAGGTTCAGTATATGAAGTGTGCAATGCTTCACCGAATGAACCGAAAAAAATGTATATCACATAGTGGGCCTCAGCTCAGCACTCTACGAGACTACAGGTATCACACTAGTTTTCTAAGCTTAGAGCGCTTCTACCCAAAAGATTCAAAACCCTTTCTGATCAGCGATCATGTTTGATTCTAGGGTCGTGAACTCAGGGTCTAGGTATACAACACTCCTCCTCTTCCAGAACCTGGCAAACACATCATCCTTCCCATGTCTAGTAAATGGAGTGTATAATTTCCGGAAAACACAAAAATGAGCATTTTTGACCACCACTGTTTTGACCCCCACCCCTGGAATGAGAAGAAAGATACAAACATGAGGTTTGCAAAATTGATAAAAATTGGTACACTTGTTATTTCTGATGAGGTGCTCAATGACTCTGTAGGTAACTCTTCGATGATGAACTCTCTTGTTGATCTGCGATTGGTTGACCCTGCATCGTATAAAGCATAACAATCTTGGTCAGGCCTAGTGTGAGCGCTGCATCTGAAGCATATGTTGGCCGATGTCCACCGTGCTTTGTGTTGAAGTAAGAAATAGAACCAGGCTTGGTCTCCTCTCAATTCAGTCAATATAAACTTTCGCCCTAAGATGCCACTTTCCGTGCATTTGTTCAACGAGTCAGCTATTCTCCTCAATATAGGGTTCACTGTTTTGACAACGTCAACCAAGGTAGAGCTCTCCAGTGCAAACATCAAATATCGCGAGATTCTGGTTGATTTCGGGCGGTATACTGGAATGCTCAATGTCATCCCAATGACTTTGCTGTACGGTTGGCTAATGAT